TACGGCGCGTCGCGTTCCGCGCGCGCCTCAAAGAGCCATCAGACCACCACAGATGGGGCCCAATACGGCCGATGCCGATTCGGAGTCGCTGAGAACCTAACGGGTAACCGGGGCTCCGACTCGACGTGCAGGAGAAGGAACGGGGTGGTTTTTAGTCAGTAAGAGTCTGACACTCCCTCCCGCCTCACCCAGGCGGGAGCAGTCATTCGATGATGTTCCCACCTTAAAAAAAAAAAACCTTGAACAAGCGTGGTAATTAATGCTCTTCTTTTCTGTGCGAAAAGAGGCCTTTGGTTAGCAGTGGCCACTATCAGGCTGTTGATGTGATGATGTGATGCAAGTAAATAAAGATTGATTTAGTACAAGACAGGAACCATTAACATACGAAATTGTGAATATGCTTCTAAAAGAAGTGATATTTTCGGTCTGCAATAGCTAACTAATGGTTGCTGTCTCTGTACACAATGTATATTTATTTTCTTACCTATATGGTTGTATTTCAAATATTTTTTTTTAACTCTATGTGACGTATTTGTGCTATTTTAGCTAAATTGTATTTTTATAGAAAAGTCATTGCTCCGTATAACTAGTCGGATAAGTCAGATAAGTAATCCCTAATGGGGTAAACAGAGGTCCACACTGCACATATTATTTAATGTAGCAACCACTTGGAACCACTTGAACGCGGTTCTCTTGGACATGACATAATAATGTGTATTTTTATTACGTACTAGAACCTAGTACTAGAAACCGAAAAATTCCCAATAATACCTACATTACACAGTCCGGGAATCGAACCCAAGACCGCTTGCTCAGCATTTGCACATGCGAACATTTGCCCAATGAGGCAGCCAGTATTTACATACCTTGATTCACATTCAAAATGTTAAGTAAAATAGTGGATACTACAATTAAGTGCCCCGTGCGAGTTTTCTCACTGATTCGATCGCAGTAACTACGATTTGTATGGCGGTGTACCAGCAATAATGGCGCTATAATAAACAAACTGTTACCGTCCTGTACCGATCTCCATACAAGTCGTAGTTAACGTGATCGATGTTTTTATAGTAACTATGAGACATACTAAATTAACTAAAAATCGCGGGTTACTCACGTCAAAATACTGAGAAAAGCGACCGCGCACGCTGCTCATGAGGAAGAACCCCTGTGCAGTTCGAAACTAGTAGAGGTTTTATTAGTATATTCACGTGAGTTACCCGCGATTTTTAGTTAATTTAACGTGATCGAGTGGGTGAACAAACTCGCACTAGAAACCCTATTTTTATTTATTTATTTTATTACATTTATTTATTTTTCAAATAAATAAACCCTGTTTAAACTAACCATGTCTACTTATCTTGGTACAACAACTATAATATTATCGTTTAACATTTTCAGGCGGCCTTACCTCATCCTGGATTCAATGAAACATACGAAGCATTTGATGATAGTGTCGCGTGTCCTCAGACCAGTAGAAGTGGTGCACTTTTAGGTACCATGCAATGCTTACAACTTAACATCTACGTACCAAACAACGCCAACTTCAGCAACAAGATACCTGTCATGGTCTACATCCACGGAGGATCCTTCATACGCGGTAGCAAAATGATGGTAAATCTATCCCCTAAGTTCCTTATTAGAAATGACGTCATCATTGTCTCAATAAACTACAGACTTGGACCATACGGCTTCCTCTGTGTGAGTGCACCTGGCTACAGCAACCAAGGTTTGAAGGACCAGATCTTGGCGTTAAAATGGGTTAAAGACAACATTGAAGCATTTGGAGGGGACACTACCAAAATTACAGCTTTTGGCCAGTCAGCGGGAGCCATGACCTTAGACCTGCAACTGTTGACTAATAAAGATTTAGTCCAAAGAGTAATTATTCAAAGTGGTACGGCGTTGACAACGTGGGTTATAGGCAAACGTAATGATAGTATACCTGTAAATTTAGCCAGTAAACTAGGATATTCTGGTGATGATGTACATGAAGCACTAAATTATCTTGCCGATAAGGAACCAATGGATATCATACAAGCAGGTGTAGATACAGGGATTTCCAACGCACATCCATTAACTAAACCATGTGTAGAAACAGTAGGTGACAATGCGTACTTAACAGATTTCCCAGTCAACCTGCAGCCCCAAGTTGAAGGGATGGATATTATGATCGGCCACACAAATAAGGAAGTTATGTTTATATATCCGAAAGACAACAAAGAGTACTATGAGAATTACAGGTTTGCAGAAGAACTAGAACAAGGTTTTAACGTTGTTTTCGATGAGGATAATGTACGACATTTCTACACAGGTGATCAGGTGTTAAGCTTGGAATCACAAAACGATATCTTTGATTTCGGAACAGATTTCGTTTTCGCCTACCCCACAGAGAGATCCGTTAACAGATATTTGAAGGCCAATGCAAATAAAGTATACCGATACTTGTTTGCTTATGAAGGTGGTAGGAACAAAAATAAATTGTTGGGGAATTTCACTGCACCTGGAGCGTGTCACGGCGACGACATAGGATATTTGTTCGAGATGGATACATTTAAGGGTGAAGTGCCCAATAAAGATGACCAGAAAATGATTGATGTCATGACTACAATGTGGACGAATTTTGCGAAATATGGGTAAATATTATGGAAAATTATATATTGATAAATTCTATGGAATGACTTATGACAGTCTTCATCAATTATTCTGTACTTAATGTTAAATTTAACTGAAGACTGTTTGTTTTTAATTGCGCATTCTACGGTCCGGCCGCTATCGGAGCCCCAGTGTGTCGTACAGTTTTTGATAGATACAGGTTCCGGCGTATGTGCCATCCCAAAATCATGTTTAAAAAAGTCAGCTGCAATACCGTATAGAAATTAGCTATGAGCGTGTTACTGCTAATGGCACACCAATACGAGTACCTACGGTATCTATCAATATTAACTTGTAGTCAACTTCGGATTACGTCGGGAATGTAGTTGAAAATTTATATTTGCCTATCTGTGCGACCTGTATTAGGACAGGCGCCGATTTTTTAAGTTATTTTAATTAGGAACCTGAAAAATACTTTATTTTCAACATTTAGTATGATGCGTAATTATGGGTACGTACTTAACGATTTAAACTAAACGAAATACTAGATGTCAGTTGTGAATGAAACTCAATTAACTCACTTTCGACGAAATGTTATATTAATGATCCGTTGATTTTGTTTATAATTGAAGAATGCATTTTAATGTAAATATGAATACCTAAAATAATATGAATACTTAAAGTAACTCTGTTATTGACACAATCAAAGTAATACAAAAGTATAAACCTGAGTGGCAAAAACCAGGAAAAACAAAGGAGAACGGCAGATTTCGTACCGCTTTGCTAAAAAAAGATTTGTCATTGTTTTGCCTTAGGCAAATGGGCAGCTATAGAATCCTCTAAATACGTTATGTTAGCATATTTAATAGATTTTTAGAACTTGGGAAGCCCTAGAAAATCTGATATTCAATAATGATAAGAAGTAATCAACAAAACGGCTACATAAATAATAAAAACAAACCGCGATTGACATTTTTAAAGTTGTCATGCGTAAACATGAAATCAGAGTATAATGAATGTCGCTATTTCATAAACTCATTTATTTTAATATCTAACAATGAAATATTTTCCTTTCCATTTCAAACATTTTTTATAAGTAAATATCATTATTTTAATTTCATTTTGTGAGGTCTACATGGATTATTAACGATAATTAACATTTTCACAAACTTGAATATGGCAATGTTGAACTGGTATTTGACATTTGTTGTTGAAGACGATTTGTCAATGTCAAGTGCGCCTTGCTGTTGGTTTCGAATGCGGTGTTATGATGTGTTTGTACAAATTGGAAGTCATTTTATTCATCTGGTGATACGTTGAGTTGGGCAGCCGTTCCTCGGTAGCCGAAATTGCGAAAATACACTTATTTTCATTTGTGCATAGTGTGTTGTATTTTGTCGCGATGACGAATTTACAGTGCATTAATTACAACCAGAGTTTGTCGCATGAGACGGCATGCTCTAGGAAATGAGAGTGAAGACTAGACGTGGTCAACAATATCCCATTGTGGACTTATCCTAGAGATGTAAGTAGGTACTTACCTATAATTACACATGACGTATCGAAAGTCACCTTGTTGCCTAAATAAAGGGGGCATAGTGTTATCTACCTATAATGTATCATTTTATTCTAGATCTCTCCTACCGACCATATTTGCCATGCTTGCTGGCAATTAGCAATGTATTGGGATGTTCCTGAAAGTATGTCCAGCAAACAAACTGATCATTGACATGTCTGTGTCGTATGTGGGCATTCCATTGCAAGGATAAGGTGACGCAGGGGTTTAATTGAAGGCGCCAACGAACAGGAGCAAAGACTAGCTCATATAGTATCTGATTGGATTCAGCCACGAAAGGTAATAATTTATTGTATTAACCATATACTATTATCATATAATTTAAAGTCAATATGACATTCTAATAATATTACTTTTTTTAGCTTACTTCCAATGATGAAGATCGTGTTCCATGCTGGCTGAGAGCCTTAACAAGAGTCGGATCTATAAGACCACAACCTGACATACCACCTCATAGTGTTCACTATCAGGATGTAATGTGTTATGTAAACATT